AAACGCCTTTTTTCGTATGGCGTCCTTTTTCACTTCCTTTTCCCATCTAAATAAAAAAAAACAAAGGAATAAAAACGATGAAAACAATCAATTCAATATAAAACCGATGCAGTAGTCGTTCAAACTTTCGTGTAAAAGCTTCAGGATTTATCTAATAAAAGAGTGTTACACAAAAAAGTAGAAAACTTACCTAAATATCCATTAATGACATTGAACATTTTAATAGAGCCATCCTGAGCTTCATACCACGGATCTCCTGCCTAAACTGTGACATTTGTAAATACTTGTGGGTTGAAGTTTTGTTTAGTATAAACATTTTCGTTATTGATATATAAAGTAAAAGAAACTCTTCCCGATTCAGCGTGTTGACGTATATGAATATTTATCCACTCGCCTTGGAATTAAAAAATTCATTTTTATTATTGTTTATTGCAAAACCAACGTGTAATATTTGATTAGAAATCTAAATGCCAGGAATTCGATCACCGTATTTCGAATTATCCTCTCCTATAGTCAAATGAATGACACTTCTAAATCCATTTAGAAAAACTGTTGAGTTTTAAATCGAAATAAATATCAAATGATTGTTCTAATTTTGACAAAACCGCAACCAAGTTATTTTTTTTCAGTGTCTCTTCAACTTCATTATCCACAAAATCTAAAGTAAAGAAAAAACCACCTTTTAACTATCTTTATAATAAATTTAATTATAGGTAAACAGTTAAAAACAAAAAAGTTTCCTAAAAATATTATCATTCAGCTTGCAAAGTATAAATAATTTTGATAAATCTTACATTTTGATTTCAGTACAGCTTTTGCTAAAAATTCACCTCAAATAACGTGCGAAAATTAAAATACATTTGAATTCAATTAGACAATTCAATAAAAGTAAAATTGTAAAAAATGAAAGTTCTGGGTATAAAATTAGTTCAGAGATAAAAGTAATAACCAATAGTACATTTAAAAGTTTTGCAATGTACATTTCCATTTATTAAAATACAAAACGAAAAAGCAGACTCTTTGATACGCCTGATTTAAATGCGTTAGACAAAAATAGTAAAAAAGACTATTAAAAAAAGTAATACCAGGCTCCCCGTTTTCAAAAATGAGATTTTTTATCGATCCATCTTGAGATGGATACCACGGATCTGAAGCAAAAATATTGACATTTTCAAATTTTTAGGGATTGGCATTATTTTCATAAAATGCGTTTGTTCCATTTACGTCAATTGTGAAAACATATTTGTCATCAATACGTTGATGACTAATAACAACGTGTGTCCACACATTGAGAGGAGGGGCATTGATATTGATTTCTCTATTCCTTTTTCCATTTATCGGTGCAGTAATGTGAGAACCCTTATAGTTAGGCTCATAGGGTCGTAACCAAAGTGCCGGAGTTCTGTCACCGATTTCACTGATATCATTACCAACTGCGAAATGAAGAACACTATGAAAACCATATGAGTATGACTTGGGTTTTAAATCAAACGATACCTTGTAGGACATAGCTAATACAGGAATGGTGGCTACTAACTCCGCTGTTTTTAAACATGTTTCGTAATCTCTAATCAGCTCATCTGAAAAAGATACATAAAAAGGAAATTTAAAAATTTAATCTCTAATCAGCTCATTTGAAAGACACACTCAAAAATAACAAATTTAAATATTTTAACTAAAAAAACAAACTTAAACAACAACAAAACCTGTTTAAAACATAAATCATACTTTTTAAATAAAAAAATTGTATTATTGTGTAAAGCAAAATACTGATTTTCTGAGAAATCGCGAGGTTAGGTTTATCTTGTTCTATTTAACACTGATTGGATTGTGTAACTCAAAATAACGTTTTTCTACTACATTGAAACTTAAGTTATTATCATAAAAGTTAGCATAAAAACAGAAATAATAAAACTTCTTTTTATCTGCTGTGTATAAGAAGTTTGTATTTTTTAAACCGGTTTATCTCTAAACTCAATAATGAAGAGCTGAAACAAGACAACTCAAACTGCGAAAATGTTAATTGATTCTTATATTTATTTGCTGGTATAATTTGATGCTGGTAAGCGTGTTTTAAATTTTAATATTACAGGTACGAATACATGTTTTAGATTGTTATGGATTTTTTTTATGTTATTTTGTTAAAAAAAGAAAAAATTATTTGTAATAAAAATAATAATAAAAAAAAATTTGATACCTAAACCATGTGCAACCACGAATAGTAAAACAACATTAAAGATCACTTTCTAAGAAAAAAAACGTACTTCGCTAAGTAAGTCAAACTCATTTTGAAATACTAAAAAGAAATATAGTAAAAACGCAAATAGAAAATACAATTTGTATTTTTTAATACCATTTTATTATCTGTTATTTATATCACGATGTTCGTTTTCTCTCTGCAGATGCTTTATTAAATTTGCATAGGTTTATCAAAATACGCTTCTTTATATAGAGAGCAAGATTACTGGCGTGTTACGAATCAAATGCTCCAAACAATTGTTTTTCAAATTAGATTTGCATTTTTATCTTATATTTCGTTATTAAAAAATAATTTAATAACCCTTTGACGTAAACCTAATAACTATAACATCTCATTTTAAACATATCTATGCAATTCTATTAATTTAGTTGAGCCTTTTTAAACCAGGTCATTTATAAAGTGATACCCCATCAAATCCTTTTTAAATGTTGGAGAAATTTTTGACATTTTGATAATAAGCTTATATAATAGGCAATTTAGATTAAATTCATAAAATAATTGTTCCCTATTTACTTTTCGAACTTTCAAAAAATTAATTCAAAAAAATTATGTAGGGGTGACAAAAACATTTTTACTTCTTACGCGCTTTTTTCCGCTTTCGATTTTTGCAAAACATTGTCTGATTGTAGACATGGTACTTTTTGTAAATTAGATATGGAAACCACTTTAATATTATAATATGCTCTATTAAGTGACATTTTAAACGTTTTAAATTCTGCTCTATTTTTCTTACTTTTTCATTTTGTAGCCAGAAAAAGCGTTTGTATTTTGTGTAACTTTAGTTTAAGTTGTTGGTAGTTTTTGAAACGTCATAAAACTTTATGACGTTTCAAAAACAGTTGAAAGGGGGAAAGGTAACTTGTTATGCGTTGTCCGTCTTCCATTTTAAAATGGAAGACAGAAACCGCATAACAAGTTATCTTTCCCCGACTCCCCGTTATCAGACGACAAATTTTTTGAAAATTAAATGTTAATTGTATAGCAAAGTTTTCTATTTGCAAACTGAACGTTCTTGCAGGCATTTAACCATTACAATAAACAAACATGCTGACAAAGCATTAATGCTTCATGACTGACAGTTTTTCAAAAACTTAATGATTTGCAATACGTTCGCCATCTTGGCCTTGCTTCCTCTTTCCTTTCTTTTTTCTTACTGTTCCTTTTTATTTGTATGGTTTTTTAAGACGTTTATTTTTTAAATTTGCAAGGTAGTATACGTACCAGCAAATTTAAACATATAAGCTTTATCAAGTTTTAAGGGGGCACAACCCTATTAAAAAAGTGTAAATTACTGAAAAAATTAATTTTTCAAAAATACACTTATTTTAACTCAAATTTATCGTAGAAACTATTGCTGATTTTTAAATTTTTTCTATCCATGCTGATATTGGTCAAAATTTCATTTATTTAGATGTTCATTATTTAAATTACCCTAGCAACGCGCATAGCAACCGTTTTTAAATGTTGTTTTTCATCTTTTTAAGCCCTTTTTTCAAAGTTGATCTTGGCTTTTTGTTTGTACAAATGGCTTTTTGTTTGTACAACGACGTAATAAGCATAATGGAGTTATTTAACTAATTAAACTACTGATTTGACAGACTGGTCTTGTTTGAATGTTTGTTTATGTTTTACAAAATTGGTTTTTATATATTTTTTTATTTTTCAGTATTATAACAAGGTAGTATGCTTTATAAGATAATTTCTATGCTGTTTTGCTAAGTATTTTTATCTATCTATGCTATTTATAAGCTTTCTATCTATTGCTTTGTATATTTATGTAACTAGTATAACTAAAAAGTTAAAAAATATTTACAAATTGAAATGGAATCATCTTGTAAGTTTCGATCTAAAAGACATAAAAGTAGGAAGTTTTATGGCAACAAACTCTCTAACAATTTTACTGAAAACTCTAAAGTTACAAATAAAGAAAACATAGCAACAACAGTTTCTTATACAAAGTTAAATGGTTCAATGGTTAAAGTTGTTGATAACTGCTGTTCAAAAAACATTACAGGCAACCGAATAGTTGATATGGAATTGTTAGCTGAAACTTTTAAGATTCTTTTGTGCCCAGAGTGTTCACATAATTCAGTAAAGCTTAATCAAAAGCAGAAATTAGGAATTGCTTTCGAGTCTTTCAATGCAACAATATGGAATCGTGTTCCAAAAGATGCATTTGTAAAACTAGTACAGTTGGAAATTGCTGCTTATGATGCAGTTGCTCATTTTAATATTGGAAATTTAGCAACATTAAAAATATATAATAAAATGCAGATGGAGTGAGGCAGCTACACTGAGCTTAGTTGCAAAGAAAGAAATCATTCACGATTAAAAAATGCAAGTCGAAAAAATGGTGAGAAGTATAGGATGCGTCGCAAGTTTCTGCGTGGAGCTAAAAAGAGTAAGAGAAGTGAAAATAAAAATAATGAGGGTTTGTCATATGGAGCAGGAAGTTTTAAATGTTTATATCAAATTAGTTTTATCATACCTGTTTATATGAACATGGCATTTAACAGGGAAAAGTAAAAAATTTTTATCATTTTAGCTTTTTATTCATTCGCAAGTAGAAAAGGGTTATTAAATCTGACTTTTGATAAATAAAGTACATCTATTGTTTGAATATAGTCTACAGTGCAATACTTAATAGATAAAAAGGCTCCAGATAAATATAATTATTATTAACAATAGAGTTAACATAATTTTTTTTTTTAAACCTTTTTTTCTAAGATTTCCACATTTTCTTAACTTTGCCTGACTGTGGCAAAGATATTTCAAAAACGGTTTTAATTAAAACTTCTCATATTTTGACAGATTGTTTATTATGTACAAGGTTGTGCAATAAACCTCAAAATTATAAGAATATATGTGTTAAAAATAAAATATAACGATTTTTCGGTCATTATGGGGGATAAAAATATCATGTTTTTTGTATCCTTTAAACAAATAAAGCACGACCCCAAGGAATAAGTAAGTTGTTAAGTTTTTGAGGTTCATTGCATACCTCTAACATCAAGCTAGTTAAATGCCAAATTTTATTCTATGTGACCTTCTGCATTTTGAAATATTTTTGCCACAAAATGGTCAATTTTTAAGTTTTTGCCCCCTAAAAATTGCCCCACAGGGCAACCCCTTCTTTTTTTTTAATTTTTTTTTTTTTTTTTAATCTTAGTTTTATTATGAATTTACTTAATAAATAAAAAAAATTATTTAAATATCAAAATTAAAGATTTTTTTATTTATAGGGTTGTGCCCCCTACCAGAAATCAGTGATGCTCGTATGTAATTGCTGAATAATTGCTGAGTTTTTAAATCTAAAATGCGCAAGTAAGTCTGCATAGCTATCTAAATCGCTTGATATCTTTTTTTCCTAATTTAATTTTTAAATTAAAAGAAGACATATGGTTAAAAAGAAGGCGTTTTTTCTCTAATTTATAGAAGTTTTTGATAGTTATCTAGATTTGAAATAGAAGAATATTTTGTTATTTCTACTGCACTAAAGTGTCTACTGCATTAAAATATCATTAATAAGTCTACTGTATTAGAATGTCTTTTAATGCTATTTAAAAAAAATAAACTACAAAAGTAAAAAAAATAACTTATCTAATTAAGTTATTTCTGAAATAAGAATGTAAACAGCTTTATGTAACATAAGGCGTGAAAAGATTATCACGTGAAAAGTGCTTTTTTTCTGTTTTTTATTATGAATTTAGAGTTGCGTAAGTTAAGGACAATCTCTCAGTCTTATCGTCCGATAGGATCTAACAGCTTTATTGTTTTTACGATTATTTTATTTTTTCAATTTGTTTTTAATGTACAACTCATAATTTTCGAATATTTTTGTAATTTCAATATTGTATAGTAACTAATTAAAAACATGAAGTTTTATGAGACCTTGTTTTTTTTTTTTGTCTTAACTTTTTTTTAATAACAAAAAAATTTTTGATTTTTCCTTGTAGATCTTGATAAACTCTTTTTCATAAGAAAATAGTTCCTAAGGAATTTAATAATAGTTTTAGTTAAGTCAAAATTAGGCGACTTTGAAAAAATCAAGCAATCTATATAATCGACTATAGTGCTCTTACTAATCAATTAATATTCGATATAGTTGAACGATACCCAATAAGCACAAGACGTAAATAGTACGTACTGTTTAGTCCATTTGTCTAAGACCAAAATGGTACGTCTTTGGACGTCCAATGTTTGTCTGAACACGCACCATTTTGGACATGGGCAATTTTGGACATCAAAATACGTCCATGCCTAAAATAGCATACTTAAATAAAAACTTTTTTAAAATGGGTCAAGAAACAGTATAAAAATTGTCAATTTTTTAACTTATTCTATAACTATAACTATTTAGTTATTGTTATAGAATAATTTGATTCCTCAATCAAAGTTATTGTTATAGAACACTTTGACTCCTCAATCAATACAGGTTATTTAAAAAAAATAAGTAAAGAACAAAATCAACAAAAAAATGAAGCCATAAATAATTTTTTTTTTTCAAAAATAAATACAAGTGTTCTAATTAAGGCGCTGTTCCAATTAAGGCAACTCTCCCCTACAAACGTCTTTTTACCTTTCATTTAAGTTTTTAAGCAAGAAAAGGATACTGTTTAAATTTATTTATTCTGATCCGTAACTTGTGTAAAGTAAAACTTGATAAAAAATGGTCTTTTAATCATTTTGTACAATTATTTTCTATCTAAAAAATTATCCATTGTTTTTTAGTACTTAAGAAGAAAGGTAAAAACATTCTAGTATCATTTGAGATCGATACTTATATCTTACGTTTGCTTGGTTTTTCCAAAAATTTACCATTTTTTCTTAATCCTTCCAATGATAAAAATATTTATGTTATTTTTGATCCTGCCTAATAGAGTGTCCTTAAAACACACTTTTTTTAAAATTTCAATGTGCTCTCAACTAATCCTCATTCTATAGGTCCTAAATAGCTACCAAAATCTTTTTTTTAATTTTTTAATGACTAGAAGTGATAGATGTAAATTCTGAGTTTTATGGTTTTGGACACATGTACATTTACATAAAAACAGCGTTATCTAGTATTTCAATTGTTTTCTGTTGTTCAATGTTTTCTTTTTTTTTTTTTTGAATCTGCGGCATTGAACGAGCAAGACGTGTTTATCAAGCTATTAGTTATTTACAAAATGGAAGTTATGATAAAAAATATAGAAAATCTAATAAACTCCAAACTTGATGAGCAAAAAAAAGGCATTTTA